ACAGATGCATACAGATATACACAAATACATACAGATGTACACAGATGCACACAGATACAGATACACACAGATACATACAGATGCACACAGATACACACAAATACATACAGATACATACAGATGCACACATACAGATACACACAGATGCATACAAATACACACAGATACATGCAGATGCATACAGATACAGATGTATACAGATGTGCACAGATACAGATACACACAGATGCATACAGATACACACAAATACATACAGATGCACACAGATACATACCAGTGCTGTCCAGGACGGTAACAAAACATGTTTCTCCCCTCTTCAAAATTCATACCAAATAAGAAAGAAAAAAAAAGCATACCAAAGGGCCTTCTTTAAACTCTGGGTTTTCCCTGGCGAGCTGATGAACTAGAGCCCCCTTCTCTGGGCACCCTTGGGGCCAGGCTGCCTTTCTCCCATTGGTACCCTGAGTCAGAGCAGGCCGTCTGTGCCCTCCTGGGGGAGCCCAGCTCAGAATGACCAGGGACAATGGCAGTGGACACCGCAGACTGAAAAGCCTGGCAGCTGGGTGTCCAGCAGCCCCTTCCGGCCCTTTTAGGAACTGGGGGGAACGCTGACGTCCGATACCTCCGCTTTGAGACAAGCAGGCCTCTCTGGCCTCGTCCCTGGGGGCAGGCCTGTTGGGGGATGAGGAAGAAGGAGGGCAAGTTTCTCCTGAGCAAACCCAAGGTCCCACAAGACTGACTGTCCTCCCGGCCAATGGCCTCAGGAGGGGGTTTCCTCAAGGACCCCCAAGAGACCAGCGGGCTTGCCATGGGCCAGGCTGTGTGCAGGGCAGCTCAGATACCCATGTCACTGAGAATCACCCCAGTTCTTCAGAGGGGAGCCCAGAGCCTAGCAAAGTCAAATGGCCTACCCAAGGTCACAGGACCAGTAAGGGCCAGGGTGTTCACTGCCACCCCTGTCCAACCGCCAAGCCGTCCCACCATGCCCCCAGCTCTGGATGAGTTCACAGGCCAGGTGGTGAGTGGGTGGGCAGGTGGGTGGGCCCAAATGTGTGACAGGGAGTGAAGGGGCAAACTGGAAGGTAATGGCTCCAGGCTCCAGGTGGGAAGTCAGCAAAGAGAGGAGAGGGCGGGCGGCGGGCGGGCGCAGGCACAGGGGAGAAGGCTGGTGTGTGGCCCCTTCCTCAGCCTGACTCCTGGTTGGGCTTCCTCCCAGGTCATCGCCACCATCCCGACCAGCAGGCTGAAGTTCCTGAAGGAGGCGGGAAGGCTCACCCGGAAGGAGGAGATCCCGGAGGAGGAGCTCAATGAGGACATGGAGGAGATTGACCACGCCGAGAGAGAGCTGCGGCGGGGCCAGATCCTCTGGTTCCGGGGCCTCAACCGCATCCAGACGCAGGTATGGGGCCTCAGGGCCTGGCTCGGGACCGCCGGCCACAGGGAGGCCGCCCTGGGGAGGGGCCACCGCCAGGCTCCCAGGGCCCTCGCCCTCTCTGTGGCCGTTCCACTCATTCACACGCCTCACACGCTTGGGCCGTGACCCTTGGCCTGGCCAGGGGCCAGAGGGTGCCATGCCCCCCATGATGGTTTGTTGTCTGTGTTTTGGGGTGAGGGGCTCCTCTAAGAGGACAGGGAGAGGCTGGAGAGGGGGCTTTGGTAGGGAATTCTGGGGGGCATTGATCAGGATGGAGTGAGGCTGCAGGCTTCGAGGCCAGGACACAGCCTTGGCCCAAGGTCTGACCCAGTGCTCCCGGGGCCCAGGGGCCCAGGGGCAGGACTGTCACACTGAAGCTTTCCCGCGGACACAAAAGAGACATGCATGGGTAAGTGCACCCATGTGTGTGCACACACACTCTGGGACACACATGAACACACAGGACACACACTCTTAGACACACACACAGGACACACCTGCTCTGGGACACCCATGCACTAGGATACACATGCTCTGGGACACACACACACACACACACACACACACACACACACACACACACACGCAGGCCCCTTGCTCTGACATAAGGGTCCCATGCCCAGTCACGGTTTCCACAGCTGTAAGATAAGGGACAGTAAAGGCTCTGAGACTCCCAGGGGGCTGGCCTCTTGACAGAGACCACCCGGGAGATCCAGATCCCTCGGGGGAACTGCCGGGGAGCCAGGGTGAAGGCAGGGAAGGACCTGGAGGTGGGGCCATGGTGATCCTTTCCCCCCAGGGCGGCGGCTGCCTGTTGGGACCCGGCTCCCTCCAGCCCTGTCCTATATGGCCGCACCAGCCCCTCCAGCAGCAGGGCCCTCCTCAAAGGGTCTGTCCATCAGAAGGCAGTGCCCGCCCACCCCCTGTCCACTGCGCAGCTGCCCCGGTGCCACTCACTCTGTCTCCGGCTGGGGCTGTAAGTCATGCCCAGCCAACAGAATGACCCAGTGCTGCCAGCGTCACATTTTGGAGCCCGGGCCTGAGGGAGGGAGGTGTGACCCCCCTCCCCACGGAGCTAGCGGTGCCTGAAACCTGCTGAGCTACCACAGCTGTGGCGGGTAGTGGGTGTGGGGGGGGGCTGGTTTCCCACCCAGAGCTCTCTCCTCTCTCCCCTCCTCGGGACAATACCCCAGGAACCCCCACTCTGTGGGTGTGCTAGGCAGCTCTCAGCCCAGGGCCTGAGTTGCCACCCACCCTTACCCCCGATCGGGGGTCTCCTGACGGGGTGCAGCCTCCTGTCTGGCTCTCTCTAAGCACGTGCCAGACGCATGGCCGCTGGCAGACAGCCCTGCAGGGCAGTGGCGGCATGGACCCTTTCCAAGGATCAGGGGTGGCCCGTCTAGAGGGTGCTTGGGACCCCACTCCACAGCCGTCCAGCCATGCCACTGTGCTCCACTCGGCCTCCCTCCTGCCCGCCCCGCCCCTCCCCGCCTGGGCTGGCCCACAGACGTGGTCTCCGAGAGCCGTGCTGTGTGTCTGGTGGTCTGTGTTTGACTCTACGTGGCGTTGCTGTCGCCGTGGCTGCGGCTGTCCTGTGGGCTGTGTGGCCGCCGTCTCCGTTCCTGTCCCAACGTGTCTCGTTCTCTCCCTCCGTTGCAGATTGAAGTAGTCAATACTTTCAAGAGCGGGGCCTCCTTTCAGGGGGCCCTGCGGAGACAGTCCTCCGTCACCAGCCAGAGCCAGGACGTAGCCAGTCTCTCTAGCCCTAGTCGTGTGTCGTTGTCCAATGCTCTTCCCTCTCCGACCAGCCTTCCTCCTGCTGCAGCTGGGCGTGAGTGTGACCCCCTCCCGCCTCTGCTCCCGGGTGGGCAAGCGGGCAGGGGCAGGGGCACCGAAGGACATGGGGGGCACAGGGGCTGAGGGGTCACAGAGGGGTGCAGTTGGCCAGCAGGCTGTAGGCAGTCAGACCGGGCAGAGAGGCAGGCTAGGGTCAAGGTTCAGAGGTGAATGCCAGTCAGTCAGGGTTGGAAGGGTTGCCACCGGCCAAAAGTCAGAATCAGGAAGAGGGTCATGTGCGGACAAGCAGGCTGCCCTGAGCAAATGGCCCCGGCCACCTCAGGGTCATGCAGTCAGGGTGGTGTCAGTGTCCGCGTGGGTCAGGCTAGGAAAGTCAGAATGGAAGCAGAGGTCACAGGCTCGCAGGCAGGCAGGGAGAGGGCTGCAGTTGGTCGAGGGAGATGTAGGGTCCAACTGGAGAAGGGTCAGATGATTCAGGGTTTCCCAAGTGGCCAGGGAACCCCCATCAGCGAACCCTCATCATTGTGGGTCAGAGGTCACAGCCAGTCCCAGGGCCTGGGCCACCACGGAGATCACACAGTCTGGAGCTCCCCACCCCCATGGTTCTCCACCCTCTGCCCTTTCCCACTGTTCTACCCTTCCCTCGTGAGATAGCGCCAGCTTGCCCGAAGCAGGGGCCAGGACAGTGCTGGCCCTCCTCTCGCCTCTGTTCCCCTCCCCTCCCAGCAGGGACAAAGCGCTGACCCCTCAGCTGGACCTCAGGCAGACAGCAGAAGCAGGCGCCCTGAGGGGAGTGGTCTCTCTCCCTCAGCCTTCTTCATCCCCACTTCTTAACTCATTGCCACATGGGGCGCACACACACACCCCACTTCTGGCCTGCGTCTCTCCTCCCCTGTTTGGATCTATCTGAACCTCTCCAAGGCTTCAGGCTCACCTCTGTTACCTTGTCCTCGGTCAAACCACCCGGGAACCCTCAGGGTGCTGTGGGCTGCTGGTCACTTGGTGGGCGAGTCAAACCCACCAGCCGCTCTGTGGAAGAAGGTGAGACAGGCTGCTGTGGAGAAAGACTTCATCTCAGGGACCCCGGGGAGCAGCTCTGCCTCCTCCACGTGGGGGCACTTGGCAGCAGAGGGTGTGGCTTTTGCTGGGGTCCGTTTGCTGTTTGATTTTACCGTCAGCAAGTCGACACGTGTGTGTCAGAGCAGACCTGCACTTCACGAGGCTTTCAGGGACGATAGTTTTGGGAAGTAGAGCACCAGCCTCTTTGCCGAGCTCCTTCTGGGTGGACTCAAAGCTCGTACCTTGGGCTAGCAGCCAACACAGGAGCCAACGGCACCACCGGGGACCCCCTCATTCCAACGAGGTCCCCCCTCCAGAGTGCAAGAGAACCCTCCAGTTCTGGTGGTCTTCTCGTTGGACACAATGCTGTCTCCTGGCCAACTCCCCAGGTTTCTAGATGACAAGTAGCCCCAGTGCCCCCGGCTCGGGACGGGGCACACACCACACACCCCTGCACCTGGCCAGCAACCGGCTCCCATCCCTGCTCCGGTGGCAACACCCCCTCAGCTCTCCTCAGGCCACAAAGAGGCCGCTGTGGCTGTGCTCATGTCCCAGGCCTTCTGAGGACGCAGGCTGCAGGCAGCAGGGTGACAGGGAGGGTGCCGAGGTCCTTAAGAGAAAAGGCACGGTGATGGGGGCTGGGCTAACAGGGCAAAGGGGAGGTGTGTGTGAGGAGCCGGCATCGGGGCCATGTTTCCGGAAAGCCGGGTCTCAGGGTGGTGTCGTGGTTAGGCGTTGTACTGCAGTCCATGTGGTCAGGAGTTTGAAACCAGCCAGCACCTCTGCGGGAGAAAGACCGCGTTCTACTCCCACGGGCAGTTGTTGTGTCAGGAACCCACCCGGGTCGCTAGGAGTCAGCACTGACTCCATGGCGGTGAGTTTGGTGTGGGTGGTATTGTTAATGCCTCGTGGAGACTACTGCCAGGTCTCCCCTCTCGGTGCCCCTTCAGACGAGAGAGTCATGGCCTTGGAGGGCAGCCCGTGCCCAGCAGACCCAACATCAACTCAGCGCTGGCCTGCTCAGTCTAACCCCTCATCCTGAGGTCCAGGCCTGATCCCAAGAGGGACCACACATTCCTGTGGGCTCCGGTCACCCCGGCCCAGGGGCCATGCATCCCTCTGGCAGTGGCGGTGGCAGCGGGGTCTGGGCAGGAGGAGTCTGGCTGCAGGTGGAGCCAGGCTCTCAGCCCAGCCTCCTCCTTGAAGGGTGGTGCTTTGCACCAGCCACAGCAAAGCTGGCCAGCGCCCCCAGGCTCCCGGGCAGCCTGTGGAAGGCTTCCCTGGGGCTAGCGCCCCAGCTCAGCTTGTGCTGTCTAGAACGAAGAGCCTGGTGCTCTTGAGCCCTAGCAACTTCACCTACATCTTTTCTTTGGGCTCATTTAGTAAAACAGCCAATGAGGCTGTGGCCCAGACCAGTCGCTTCTCTCTTCAGAGAGATCCCGCTTGATGCCTCTCACTACCTGACTCTGCCCCACTCCTCCGGTCAGATGAATCCCGGCTGACCCAGAGTGGCCTCACTTTGGACAAGCCTTGGGAATGGAGCCTAGACGGAGGTGTTCCCGATGGTGGCTTAGTCAGCTCTACCCACAATCCTTCTTTCTCTGAGGATACCCGCCCCCTCCTGCAACCCCTCTACCAGCTGCCAACCTGCCTTTCCCCCTGCATCATCCCCTCTATTATAGAAGCCAGACTGGGCTTCTGGGACACACACCCCGCATCTGAGAATGGGGTTGATGAGAGACCCGCCAGCCTTCTGCCCAAGAGCGCGAGCTCCCAACTGGGACCGGTCGAGACCTTTGTGGTTTCGATGCAGACGTTCCAGTTGACGCAGTCATAAGGCAAACCCCAAAGCAGCCAACGACACCGTGGTTTGTCCTCGGCTGGATTGTCTCCTTTGGCAATGCCAACTTTGCTTAGTCCCCAAGGAGACCACCAGGCCTCCCAGCCACCAGCAGGGTCCCTTCAGGAGCCACAAGGGCACAGGGAAGGTGGGAAACAGGTGAGAGGTAGGAAATCTGGTGAGGGAAGAGGGGGAGGGGAGTTGAGGTGGGCTATTTGCTGGCCTCCTCTGAGCAGTCTGATTCTGTTCATGTCCATGGCCACCTGGCATCTATCCATGTGGTGCAAGTTACCCCCCATTAGCACTTGGGCCTGAGGAGCTCCCCACACAGCTGAGACAGGGCAGTGTTATGTGCTTGGAGCTACCTCTGACACATGCTGGGGGTGGGGGGAACTCCCACCTGCTTCATGCAGCCGTCACCCAGCCCACCGAGACAGGGAGAGGGGCCCAGGAAGACCGAGGCATGTCATAAGCAGGATAATCCCATTGGACAACTCCTAGAATGTTTGGGAGGAAACTAGTCTGCTCTTTGCCTTTCTCCCCAGATTCAAACCCACCCACCCCCATCTCCCCACCCGAGACTTAGTGGCACAACCCTAATGCACCTTGAGCCTCTCTCAGAATTCTCCAGTCGTTCCCACATGGTTCGTTCAGATGAGGATGGGGTCACTTCCATTTAACAGAGAGGGAGACTGAGGCTCAGAGGAGGACAATGGCTTGGCCAAGATCACCCTGCAAATGACCGGCAGAAGCTGAGTCCCACAGACGAGCATGCTGAGCTTGTGCCCACAGAGGCTGGACACGTTCAGGAAGCAGTGCCCACACCCAAAGCCAGGCCTAGCTGGTTCAAAAGCCCAGGGAAGCTGCTTTCTTCCTGGCAGGGCCTGGAGAGGAGGAAGCCTTCCCACCGGGGACCAAGGGTGATGTTAGCATTCAGTTCTCTGACCCAGCGCTAGGCCTATTCCCCGACAACGCCTAACCCACCTCAAACCCTGTCTGCATTCAGCCGGTCTGTGGCATGTCCCTGTTCCTCAGTGAAAGCCCTGCCCCTGTGAACCGACTAACCCAGAGAGAGAGAGAGAATATCCTCACCCCAGCCCTGGACGCTGCAGGATGCTACAGCCCACCAGACAGGGCTTCTCCTGCACCACGTCCTGCAGCTCCTTGGTTCTGGGCCCAGCGAGGAACTGGCAGCTCTTAGGGGGAGAAATGGAGGCGGAGGGAAGGGCAGCGAGTGGTCCTCTCGTTGGCGTCGTGGTCACTAGCGCAGACTGGGGTTAGGGAGAAGTGTTTTGCTTGGGGGGGTGCCCAAAGCTCTCCGCGGTCTCATGTACCATGTGTTTGTTTCCCTAGAGGGCTAGAGAGCCCTGGACGCAGAGTTCAGCAAGAGAGAGTGAAATTAAAAGAGGTTGTGAGTCTTTAACCTTGAGCCTGAAATGAATGTGAATCAACCCCCAGCCTCTTGGCTTCCTTGAAGCCGGGTAAACATTCGAGTATGTCGAGCCCAGCCCGTCCTGGGGACCAGCCGTGTCTCCTCGGGGCTGTAGTTCCCCAACAAGGGGCCCGGGTCCCCCTGCTCCCTGTGTGCCCATGAAACCAAAATGCCTGAGAGCCCATGAGTGGGGTTCCACCCCCCTTCCCCCTCACTCCCCGGTGCCCCAGCTCCCAGCTTTAGGGTCGGCAAGGAGGGGAGGTGGAAGCGCTTTTTTTTCTCCCCACACTTGTTTCCATTTCAGCTGTGGAGAAAAACGGAAGTGGAGGCTTGCGATGTCCCGAAAAGTCTCGTCCCCACAGTCTTGTGCAGAGCAGTCCATACTCTCTGTTGTCTCCATGCCAGGGGAGGGGGTGGGGCCTGCATCTCAATGTGTGTCGTCCTCTCTGCATCATCGTCAGCCACCTGACGGGTCCCGCCCCTACCCTCTCCCGCTCCCGCTCCCGCTCCGCCAGCTCCAGCCTCAGAACATCCGAGCACTGGTTCCATGAGTGACACGAATTCTCCCATTCTGCAGACTGGAAAGCAGCAGCCGAGGCTTGCTGTGCCTTTGTGGTAGTGGTGTTATTTTCACTTAATAAGGAATGCAGCCGCCTGCTCCTTAGCAGAGCATCCCAGCAAAGCCGCAAAGAGGCGGCAGAGCCGCTGGGGCGACTTGGGGCTGCAGGAGGGAGCAGAAATGCCTGCTCAGGGGCCTCCAGGCTCCCAGTGCACAGCACAGCGCAGGGAAAAGCAGAGGGGTTTTCTTAGACACGCGAAGTCAGAGCTGACGGCAGAGGATAAGGAAACAAAAACTAAACCAAAAGATAGTAGCAACAGTGTGGGTCTTCCACTAGACCACCCAGGGAGGACTGTGAGCAAACTTGGAGTTCTGGAGGCTGTGTGCCCTGAGGCCGGGGCAGGGGTGTGTGGTGGGCCTTAGAAGACCCCCCTCTGTACCCACCCAGGCAACCCTGGGCTCTGACAATTCAAGTCCTCCTCGACCACCCAAATCCAGAAAACTCACTTCAAGGCCCGGCTTTCCCCACCTGTGTCCCCCACAGCACAGCCCCCTCGCAGTTAGCTGATAGCAACAGGGATCCCGGGGTTGCCAGGGCTCCCTACCCCTGTTTCGGCCTCACTCGGGCCTGGGTGTGGGAAAGCACTGTTAAGCCAGCCATGTGACCTGACCTTGGGCACAGACAGACAGGGGCTCCCTCCAGGAGGGGGCTGGGTGCTGCGAGTGTACCCCAGCACAAGGGCTGCAGACAGAAGAAAAGGTGCCATCAGTCCCTTGATATGACAGGGACCCCTTCTCTGCACCGGGGTAGGGACAGCCACAGTCCTGCCCAAACTCATGGCCCTTGACCCCACCTGTGTCCAAGCTCCTCACCACTACCCCTATTCTTCAGAGCAAAAACTGAGGTCCACCACTTGAGACCCAGAGAACAAACCCACCTGCCCCCAAGCCGAAGCCCCCATCCCCAGCACCATACCTGGGGCTGGGCTCCCCCATTGGATTCTGCCCACCCTCTTTCCACCCCCACCCCCCGTTTTGTGTTTTCAAAGCACAAACAGGGACTAAACGAGCCCCAAGGCCCGCCCAGGGCTTTGAGTCTATACTCGAGTGTTTACCTCCTCAATGCATGAAGAAAAGAAGCGCTGGGTACCAACGACCTCCGTTCACATTGTCCAGGCTTCCAAGTGTAGCCGCGTGCCCGTTGGTGTGTGCCGTGTGGTCCCGCCCCTGCCCCCGCCCCCGGCATGCTCCCACCCTGCGTGCCCCACGCCCTGCTCTCTGGCTGCCTCGGCTCTGCACCTCCCGGAGCCCTGAGTTGGCTCCGGTTTGCTTCGCTGCTGTTTGCCGTCCTCGCCCTCTGTGTGGTCCTCCTGTGTCTCCTCTCGGCCCGCGCATCCAAGCGCCCTCCTTCCTCTCCTGTGTGTGGGGCACACTGTTCCATGTCGTGTGGTTTCTTAACTGTGTGTGTGTGTGTGAGTGTGAGTGTGTTTAATAGCCTCTCCTCCTTCCTACCTGACGCCCACCCAGCCCAGCCCCTTCTGCATGGTTGAACCTCTACCCCGGAACTAACCAACCGAGCTCGGTCTCTCCCCAAGTGTGGGTGCCCACGGGAGTGGCCCCTGCTGCCCCTGACCTGCACTGCCCAGCATCTCAGGGACGGTGCTCCCTGCGGCCGCCACCTCCTCTAATACTGTAGTCCTGGGCAAAACCCGGACCCGACCCCCTCCCCGTGAATGCACACAGCCGGGTCTCCTCCGGGCCGCCCCTCCACTTCTCCCACTCTCCCCGCTCCCGCGGATGCTCCCAACATCCAGCGACTGTGGGTGCCGGCCAC